TGTAATCGAAAGTATCCATATGGCCTTTAACATATGATTCTAACTGCGCTCCCACTCTACCCTCTGCTATCCCGATCTTCCATTACATCTTTTAGGAACTCGGTGCGTAAGTCCATTCTATCTTATTAGATCTATCTAGAGATAAATAAAATACTACCCCGAGTCCAGATTAGAAGAATATATCAGAGCAAGGTAAACTGGGCAAAAGAGTAGCCAATGACAGCCGCACAAAGATGTAAATAAATCAAAGTGGCCTACCAGACTGACAGCTTTTAGAATAGTATAGCAGCACAGAGGATACACCAATAAATGATATGATGTGATTTTACATTCAGTCACTAAGCATAAGTATCAATGATATGATGTCAACATATAATGCTCTACAATCTATATCAAATTATGAAACATGCAAGCAAATATAATAATCATCAACATTAAAATTTACTAAATAAACAATAATCAATGGTTATGAAGTGATCAATGATAAGACATGATACTGTCCATTTATTTATTTTAGTAAAAAGTTATTTATTACTCTGTAATCTCTCCCCATGTATAAATTACTAATTTGAATTTAGAATATACTGGCAGAAGAGTTAAAGTTAAATTTAATAAATTTACTTTCGTTAGTCTAGGAGTAATTAGCCCCGTCCAAATCTCGGCGAGCTCGCCAGTGTGACGTGACGCGTGGTTTAAATGTTTATGTTGTTGAGTAGGGATCTTCCTTTTAACACATTCTCTCCACTAGATAAACCGAACTAAAATCTTAGCTATGTTGCTCTCAAAGTCCTGGATATCCAAGAAAACAGCCATATTGGCTCGTTAAGTATATTAACATTAGCTGAACTTGGTACCCACAAGAGAAAGCAAGGAATTTTAGATGTCTAACATACTAAATGAATTATTAGACAGGGCAAGTGATTCCTTCGTCATCTACCTTCTCCCGGTGTTATTATTAATAATTAAAGAATTATTATCATATTATATGAGCCCCCACCAAATGTTATTCTATCCTAAAAGTTTAATTAAACATGTAAGAACAGACATTTGGAATTTAACAAACTATGTAGTTTAAAACTTGACATACAGCTTTATTTACTACAATGAAATTCCCAGTTTGTTGATTTACACAAACAGTGACTGGTTAATGAAAGTGATACGCTTCAGCGAGACAAACAGCTCGGGGTTTAGAGTGGTATGATAATGATGATAAAAGGTTAACATAAAGGGGTTAACTCAACTTATAAGCCTCTGACAGCCGTGAGGAACTGTCAAGCTTGTCCAACTCTTCCTTGCCTGTTGTCTGCCTGTTTCAGCTTATTCTCCACTTCCTCCCCACCTCGTTCTCCACATCGTTCTCCACCTCGTTCTCCACCTCGTTCTCCACCTCGTTCTCCACCTCGTTCTCCCTAGTCTTACACTGACGTGTGAAACTCCGACCTCCCGGCTCCACAATGTCTAGCGTCTACTCAATTTACCTGTTCAAAAGGGCCCCCCTCAGTCTTTACAGTCTGGTCAGGAGATAACATTCTGACACTGGCATGAGAATAGAATTCCTAGCTACAGTGTAAAGTTTTAGGTAATATTACCTAAGGTTCAGTCGCTTTGTCTGGACTAAGGACTGGAAACGTTTAAATCAATACGGTTTAAAGTAACATTTGGTTTAAGGGCATAGTCTCTTGTCTCTCAATAACCAGAAGAACTTATTACAAGTACTAACTTCTGGAATCACTGAGATCGTTTCGTGACAGCCATGCAGTAGCACAACAATCACAGTGTAATTGTGTTTTACCATTTTTTAGGCCAGTGTAGACAAGAGAGCCTTGAGACTGAGGATTAAGGGCCGCCTAACTAGTGCTGTCGCCACGGATTGTGCAGGTTAGGGAGTATAATTTTGCCTCAGACAAAAAAAAAAAAACTACATCCCCTTACCCGGGGTCGAACTCAGGTCTCCTGCATCAGATCCCGACGCTGTAACCGTCGGGCCAGTCGCTCCTTGGTCACATTGTAAGGTGCATAAATGTAGGAAAGAGTTTAGATCAGAGCCTGTTAATTCAGACCCGGTTAATGCCTAGGAATAACTGGGGCGTGCGTAGCGATTGTAAAGAAAGGCGGCTGTTTGGTGTTGGTAGGGTTAGCGAGCCACCTCTGAAGCGAACAAATTGCCGACTGCTTGTGCTAAATTATATCAAAGACTGATGCGTGCGCTCTGACAGTGTTGATTTAATTGTGTATGAGGATTGACGTTTCTGTCTATGAGCAGTCAACGAGATATTTGCCTTGATGGCAGTAAGAAGGTCTCTGAGACAGTGTTTGCACCTAAAAGGGTTGAAATAATAACACGTTCAACCCCACCAGGACATCACACCGATCGATAAACACGCGGTGAAACAAAGTAACACCATTATGATAAGGATCACCCGGGGGTAGGTCTCAGAAACCTAGTTCAACCCATAGATTGGGTTATATTAGGGCTCCTAGCAACAGCCAGGGTGTGGCATTAACATAAGGAAACATTGCATCCCATATTGGGACCTTGTGTGCTAATTGTACAAAATTAGGAATTTGGATTAATGAGTTAATGCAACAATTATCTGGATTAAAAAAGTCAGAAATCAGCAGTGTATTAAAACTAACTAACGAAAGTATGATGAACTGAAAGGCCGCGAAAGAGTTAATAAAGCCATCTACACAGACCGAAACAAATTATATGACCTTTCAGCTGGCCAAAATCAGGACTGTATTGTTGACTGCTGCAGAATCTGTAATTCTGTCGCTGCTCCACAGAAGGGTGGTTTTCAACAGTATTCAGGTAGCGCCCTTTGATTGGATGGCAGGAAACCCACGCCCCCCCCCCCCCCCCCCCACTTCCTTTTTTTCCCAACTAAAAGCAACTAAAGTAAAAGCCAGATATGTATAAGATTTTTTTTTTACAAGGACACAAAGATTATCCTAAGCACTTTTAACAAGAATTTTGAGAAAAAATATCGACATAAATCAAACTGTCAAGCAACAACAAAAAACAAAAAAAAACAATGACCAACAACTGGTAATTTAGTGTCCAGTTATACCTGGGTGGCTGGGACTATCTTGTCTTGATGATAAATGCCTGTTTCGTCTTTTAATCAATAGTTTTGAAAATGTTTATTTACAATTAAACTAAAAACAGAGATAGTGTGACAGATTATTACAAGTAGCCTAAAAATTAACTGAGTTTAAAATCGCTTGACGCCCCCTTGAAACTTCCTTGCGCTTCATTAAGGGCGTACACCCCACCCCCCAATTTGAAAACCACTGACCTAGACAGATACGACGTGCTTGTGAATTTGTACCATCTTCAAACGGTGATCAGTGGGTTTCATTCTCACAGCGGTAAAATAAAAATGGAAAGCAGTTCATTGATTGATGCAATATATATTCTCTCACCAGTGTAAGGCCCGTTAGAACAGCGGTTCTCAACCTGTAGGTCGCGAACCCTATGGGGCATTGCACGACTTGTTCTCATGAGCGCCTAAGACCATCAGACAAACATATTCACTGAAATTATGAAGTAGCAACGAAAATAATTGTGTTTTGGTGGGTTTTCACAACATGAGGAACTGTATTAAAGGGTCGCCAAATTAGGAAGATTGAGAATCACTGCTTTAGAAAAGAAAAAAAAGGGGTGGGAGAGACAACAAAAACTGCATTTCTCTCAGTTTCAAAGACATGATTGCAGAGTTGAAAATTGATGACCGACAAGACAAAGTTAATCTTCTTTTGCATTCATTCAAAGATGTAAATACATTTTGCCCATTTAAATTCTTTAGCAAAACTATCAGTGAAAATTGTGTCCAAAAATTTGACTGAAGCTGATTGCTGGGCATAAAAAGTGAAGGAGCTTTTTTTAATGGTGTGTGTGTGTGGTGTGATGTGTGTGTGGTGTGATGTGTGTGTGTGTGTGGTGTGTTTGTGTGTGTGGTGTGGTGTGTGTGGTGTGTGTATATGTGTGGTGTCTGTGTAGGGTGTGTGTGTGGTGTGTGTGCGCAGACACGTGTGCGTGTGTGCATGCATGCATGCGTACATGCATGCATGTGTGCGTGCATCCATGCATACATGCATGCATACGAGCGTGTGTGTGTGTGGGGATTATTTTTGGAACTTCCTGAACTATATATACTCGATAACTGATCCAAAGTTCTGGGGTAAAAGATTCACATAACATTATGTCATCCTCACAATGTGCCTTGTCGACTGGCATATGTGTTCATGCATCTCTAAAAACCTCGGCATCAGCTGCATCTGAGGCTACTACAAAACCATCAAAGTTGAATGTTAAATTACATTAGACAATGCACACTTGATGTGGACTATAGGACAAAGAATGCCACTTCCGCATTGGAATGTACAGTCGTAGCAGACACTGTTCCCAAGTCCAGTGGTACCACTCCATGGTCTCTAGGGACTGATGGTTGCCTACTCGTGCCATGATGTTGATTAATTGTACAAACCAAACCTCTAAGGTACAAAATCTTTAGGAGATGCAGTGCTGAATTCAATCACTTGGGACTGAAAGAGTTAAAAATTATACCTCATTCATCTAAACAGTTCATAAAAACCTGGTAAATGTTATACTTCACTCATTTGAACAATTCACAAAAACCTGTTAAATGTTATACCTCACTCATTTAAACAATTCACAAAAACCTGTTAAATGTTATTCCTCACTCATCTAAACAATTCACAAAAACCTGGTTAAAAGTTATACCTCACTCCTTTAAACAATTCAGCAAAATCTGTCTAGAGGAAATAGTAAGGCCATCAATTTCAAAACACATGGTTTCCTTAGAAATACATTTCATTATTTATTCTGACAAATAAACAAATGTTGACAAGTATTGATTTGCTTATGTTTACATTCCACAGCAGTAAACAAGTTTTGGCTTGATTTACAGATTATTCTGCCATTTGTATTCATGCTTTCATTTAATATAGGCCTATTGGCTTTTTTTTTTTTTACGTCATCCAGTAATTGTAAAATTGGTCTCTTTGTGGTCATTGACTTTGCTATGAGGATGTTTACTCCCACATTCTCCATTACAGATTTCTGGAAAATAAAGAAAGTACAAGGTTTAAGTCAGACTTTCTTTATACTTGTTGCTACTTTTTTCTGTGTTCATATGTAAAAGAGTGGTTGGCGTGTTGTGGTTTACAGAAAGTATATTATTTCTGCCCCTTTCAGCCCAAGACATCCATTTTCAGCAAACCCTTAATTAGTTGCCTTGTATGATGTGCTTTTTTTTTTTTTTAGGCCAGCATTTGGTCTATTTTTTGTTATTCCCACCATAAAAATACTCAGCTCAACCAAGCTCATCAACCCAATAATTTTCTAGTCAATTCTTATCCAGTTCATTTAGCTAAAGGAAGTCTAGCCAACTCTTAAACAGTTCAACCAGCCAGTTCAGTTCTGAACCGAGTTAACCCTGCTAATGACAGTCAAACCAGCCAGTTCCAAACCTAGTTCATCCAGCCAATAAGTATGTAGCCAGTTCTGAACCTATTTCAGCCAACCAACAAGTGTCGAGCCAGTTCTGAATCCATTTGAACCAGCCAATGACAGTCAAACAAGTTCTGAACTTGTTTATCCATCCAATAAGAGTCAAGCCAGTTCTAAACCATATCAACCAGCCAATGACAGTCATGCCAGTTCTGAACCTAGTTCATCCAGCCAATAAGTGTCAAGCCAGTTCTGAACCCTGTTCACACAACCAATAAGTGTCGAGCCAGTTCTAAAACCATTTCAGCCAGCCAATGACAGTCAAGCAAGTTCTGAACCTAGTTCATCCAACCAATAAGTGTCAAGCAAGTTCTGAACATAGTTCATTCAGCCAATAAGTGTCAAGCCAGTTCTGAACCTAGTTCATTCAGCCAATAAGTGTCCAGCCAGTTCTGAACATATTTCAGCCAGCCAATAAGTGTCAGAGCCCTCTATGAAAAAAGTGAAAGTGCAGTAAGAACATCTAGTGGTCTTTCTGAATGGTTCAAAGTCACAACTGGTGTCAGACAAGGATGTGTACTGTCACCATTACTTTTCATAACATACATGGATAAGATCACTGTAGAAGCAAACCCAGACGTGTATGCTATAAACGAATTACTTTTTGCTGATGATCAAAGCATACTGTATCAAAATGAATATGATCTACAGGAACATCTGACTACTCTCAACAACAGCTGTTTACAACATAATATGAGAATCAGTACAGAAAAAACAGAAGTTATGAAGATCAGCAGAACACACAGGCCACTGAATATAAATGTTGGAAGTGCATTTTTAGCATGATGCGGTTGGCATTTTATGCAGCATGATACACTTTGAGTGTAAAACAAGGGAAAAAAAACACTCTTTCCACAGTGGCGAGGAAAGACAATTTAAATTTTAACTTCTAAGTATCTTCATGCCTTCTTTAATAATGTCACAATTTATAGCCGATTTTTCTTGATTTTCGCTGCGGCACCGCTGGCATACGCACCCAGTTTTATAACCTCTGCTGTAATGCCTCGGTCAAATCAGCAAGCAAAGACCTTGCCAGCTGCTGTATCATGCAACCTGGTCACAGTTTCACTCGCTACAACACACTTAGGCAACAGCAACTGTTGTGTTAATGGGAGAATTATTTCAGTCTATCGCAGTGTATGCAGAAACGGGTGTAAGGTAACCACTATTAGTATTCGGCCCGATCGCAAGTATTCGGCCGAATACCGAATAGTTATTAGGTCCACTATTCGGCCCTAAAGCGAATATGAAGCGAATATTCGGCACAGCCCTACGAAGAATAAACAAAACCAAATTTATAGTCAAACAGTTTGTTACCTTGAGGTCCTGTTTGGGGACTCACAATTATCTTTGTGATTGTTGCATCTCCTCCGTCAAAAACTGCACACACCTTCAGAAGTTCACAGAAATAAATGGGGTCAAGGTCAGCTCTGTAACAGTTAATATACATTTTATAATCCTTATTTTTACATGCATACCATTATCATTATTAACATTCTGCTCTTTTACACACTCTTTAAACAATATATAACCAACAGAAAAATAGTTTGTAGATAACATTGCTTTGTCCGTGACAGTTTCTGAATCTCTTTACTACTTTAGATTTGGAAGTTTAAGAAGGTCTTATGTTAATTGCTTTATGGCATGCAAGAAATGTTGTTAATTTTAATTTCTTCTTTTCTCAAAAATTGTCCAGAAACATGAAATTATGTTGATAGCATCAAGAAATGTGTGAATTATTATTTTATTAAGAATGGTTGAGAATTAACAACAAAATATTACTATTATGAATTACATGCAGGGAGAACAAATATGAAAACAGATGAGTTAAACAAGTTAGCTGTGCATCCCTTATAGGACGTTGCAGAACCAGTCCCACCAATTTCTTTTGTCTGTTGTGGTTTCTCTAGGCAAATTTTACATTCGGTAGTTTGCCACTGATTCTGAATAGTCAGCTCTTGGTACTACTGTCAAAACCAATGCAAGACAAATCATCCCTTGCTGGGATCGAACCCGGCATCCCATTCACAACGCCTAAGCCACAGACGTCAAGTAGGACAGGAAAATATGGACGGAATTACACGTCTGCAAAGGACAAGAGGAGCTGGTGTGAAATGGTTGTGGGCCTATGCTCGACTGGAGGACAAGAACGAATGAAGACAGAATAAATCATCAGTTTAAAGAAACACTGTCACACACCGTCCTTTTTAGGATGACATTTTTTGTTATTTGAAGCCCTACTCTGGCTCTTGCCAGGGGTCGCAATATAGCCCGGCCATAAATATGGCCATATGGCTAAACGCAGTTTCTGGGACCTCTCCACAGTAATCCTCATTCACATGGTGGCACTTTGTGTCATCGTGTGTTTATCGCTTGTGTTATGTCCTGATGGGGTAAAAAGTCAGTCAGTCAAAGAAACATTACTCCCATCACTGCATGGCAGTAAGATACTCATCTCTTTGTTACTTCCCCTTGCTCACAAGTTTTCATGCCTGAATTATTTCTGATAATCTGTGCCCACCAATTTGCCTGTCAGCCATTGACTTCAGGAACTATGCTTTCCGTTATTCATCAAATCCTTGTGTTGTTTGATATCTTCTTCTTCTTCTTCTTTAGCATTCTGAACCCTTGAGGTTCATTGCTGCACTCCATTCATCTCTCTGGTTGGCCTTCTCTTTCCATTTGGTGACACCAAGTGTTTACAGGTCTCTCTTGACATTATCTCTCCATCATCTTCTTGATCTGCATCATGGTCTACAACCATTCATCTCCCTTGTGTATACAGATTTTATTTCTCTGTCATCTGACATTCTTTCAATATGCCCCAACCATTTCAGTTTATTAGCTCTCAGTGATCAATGGTAATTTTAACAGATTATGAATTTCATTGTTGCTTCTCACTTTCCATTCCCCGCTGTTTGCATCTTTGAAATGGCTGAAGTTTTTCAGTGTTTCTGCGTCTTCTCTTTCTCCAGTTACCTCAATGATGTGTTGGGGTGGAGTGGGGTGGAGTGGGGGGGGGGGGGGGGGGGGGGAATGAGGATCCTCTGTGTTCTATTTCCAATGCATTGAACAAGTTTATCTTCATTTCTGTAAGGCTCTTCTTGATGTTGTTATTCTATATTTTGTGTTATCTTCCCTTTGTTCTGTCTTTGTTATATTTCTCAAGCATAGCTCTCTATGGCAATTGTCTTATGAGATGGCCAAACGTTTTCATCCGCTGCTGTTTAATAAACTATGATTGGTTCAGTACTAGTTATCTTCTAATTTTTTTTTTTTATATTGTATTTCTTCTTGTTATTCTAGTAGTTATTCTACAAATATCATCTTTGTTTTTATGATTTTACACTATCAGTGTTTCAGTTCAGACAGAAATAAAGATTCCTTTTATTAGATTTGACATTCTGACATTAAAAAAATGAATATTCATTAATGCTTCTCAGTGCACTTACTGTTCAATAATTTTAATGAACTCCTTGATACCAGCAATATCACACAGAATGTTGCAGACGGCACCAATCACTTTGCTCCCTGTTTTCTGTTCTAAAGCATTACACAACACCCCACAAGATCCCACAATGCCTGAATCTGAAAAGACACTTCCTACGTAATTATCAAATTGATATCACCCTAGAAAGTCACCTTGCTTCTAAAAGAACTGCCTTTGCTAAATTGGACAATATAAAATTCCACTACAGAAAAGACAAAAAAGTATATTTTAATATCATCATCAGTCATCAGGTCTTTTACCGAACGTCCTTCTCATTACAGCATGCCTGAAAGTCTCTCTTTCTCTAGCCAATTCTCCAGCCCTATGTGCTTTCATACTGGTGCATCTTCAATATCTTGTATCCATTTTTGCAGAGGACTGCGTCTGCCTCATTTTCTAGAAACTGTACCTTCCATCACCGTTCTCTCCAGGCCACCGTGATGTTTGACATGGCCAAAATGCCCCAGCGTTTGAGACAGGATGCTGTTTATGAGCCAATTCTCCTCGATGCTCAGATCATGTCGGATAGTTGTGTTTTTATTTTTCTTTGTTTATGGTATTTTAAGAATATATATTTAAATATAAGTGAATGTTGTCAAAATGTTAACAGCAGAGATTGCTCTGGCAAAAGTAATAGGGATTAGCTGGATATCTCATAACCTTTTTCTCTCCGCTAGTATGTCAGTCAACTACTGTCCACATTGATCAAGATCTTTCTGGGTCAACAACAGGTTCATACTGATCTTTCCACTCTTAATAACTGAATCTCACAGCATGATGAGCATTCTTCATTCGCTAGGATGGACATACATCATTCAGGCTGTAAATATGAGTAACTTCAGTGTCCTCCTCTTTGCCAGTCTTCCCTAGATTTATCTCAAGAAGTCAACCATAATATCATGCTATTATAATTATATGCTATTATTTTTTCCAATCCGTTGTAGCACTTGAAATGACCAAAATATTTCAGTTTCTGTGACAGGATGCTGTTTATTAGCAACCATAATATACTACTTAATTACAAAACTAATCCACAGTCAGATATGACTGAAGAATGCAGGCTGCTACATGGAGTACATCAACCAATAAAATGATATGACTTAATAAGTCAACCCTTTTTTTTCCCTATATGATTGCAATCTGTAGGATTTTCATCTCAAGGATAAAATCAAACACATACAAATCCATGAAACCCCTTTGATCAGTATAGCCATATAGCACATTATTCTGGGGCACCACAAATTGGTTACAAAGTAACGTGAGGCCCAGTGTGGGTGGATTTTGTTGAATCTACCTCCTATATTCAAGAAATCTATCAACAGTAAGATATGACTGAACAAGTCAACCTACTGTATGTGGGATATCAGTCACAGTAAGATATGACTGAGCAAGTCAACCTGCTGTATGTGGGATATCAGTCACAGTAAGATATGACTGAGCAAGTCAACCTGTTGCATGTGGGATATCAGTCACTGTAAGATATGACTGAACAAACATCCCACAGTAAGATTTGACAAAACAAGTCAACCTGTTGTGTGTAGGAACATCAGTCATGATAAGATATGACTGAAAAAGACAACCTGCTGTATGTAGGGTGTCAATCATGGTGAGATATGACCAAACAAATCAAAAATCTATATGCAGACATTAATCAATAGGCAAGGATTACTGCAGGAGGCTAACACAACAACTATCAGTATTTCACACAGATGTTTCACACATACTTACTGAGAATAATATTCAAAAGCACATCTAAAGCTTCATCTGTAAACTGTATACATAGTGGGCACAGGTCAGCTCTGAGGGTCTTTGATGCCACAGGTCTGTGACTTTGCTGACCTTGAAATCTAAGTGACTTCTGTACGCCAGGAAGACTACAACTGACTGTCAAAATGGAGAACAGAACTGCACAAATCTGCAGAAAATCAAAGTCAAAGTAAGTAAAGGTTCCCTTGTTTATGCCAATGCTAAACTCAAACTTCTACAGACCAGTAAGCACTCTGTGGGCGATGTGATCAACATCATGCCGGCTGCCTTTATTTCCCTAGACATTTCCTTGTGCCCACTTTAGGCTGGGTCCACCTGGAAGCCAAGGTGTTTTTAAAACAGTCTCCAGTCAGATTTGAACCCTAGATCTTCGGGCCAACAGGCTAGCGGCTAGCCACTATGCTACCACGACTCCCCTGCAGGAAATAGTACATTTCAAACCAGACTTAACATGACTGACTGACACGACTCCCCTGCAGGAAATAGTACATTTCAAACCAGACTTAACATGACTGACTGACTTTCTACCCCACCAGGACAGCACACAAGCGATAAACACCCAATGACACAATGTACCACCATGTGGATGAGGATCACCGTGGAGAGATCCCAAAAACCGCGTTCAGCCAATTGGCCATATTTATGGCCTGGCTATATTCATGCAGCCCCTGGCAAGAGCCGGGGCGGGGCTTCAAATAAAGAGAAATGTCATCCTAAAAAGGACGGCAAATAAGGAACAAAAGCGCCGTACGCCTAAGAGACTACAACATTAGTGTTTGGCGCTGTATGTGCTCTCACTGAAACTAATAGCTTGTGTGCTTTCAATCATGTACAAGGCAACTTTGCCAGGGAGATTTTTGTTCTGATCTGTACAAAAAATTGTTCATAGGCTTTAATTTTAATGACTTCCAGGATAGTTGTACCTGTTTCCTACTGTGGGTTCTGGAACGAAACGAGAACAACCGTCCAAAAGTAGACGAACAACCAGAACTGTCTGCAGTTTACAGTCGCTGAACACAGAGAAAAGATTAAGATTAAGAGGAATAACGTTTTTATATAAGTCAAGTTCGCAACAGCGTAAATTAATCACGTAAAATAAACAATAACAACGGAGGTCACATGGATGAACGGCCTACCGTAATAAATGCCTTTCTCTTGCCCATGGTGTGTGTTTGACGTAAACTGGCCTACTAGTAATATTGCAATGGTCATATATTAAATACTGTTTCGTGTTTCGCTTTTCCCTGTTACTACATATTTTTTCTTTAAATTCCCAGTCGCTCGTGCCTCAGAGGTCATGAACTGCAATGATTCTCAAACTATTTACCGCTAGGTCCATGCTACATATATCCTTCAGAGACAAGCAGATATCTGTCTAATAGGACTGAATGCTTCGAGATTATTATTCCCAATTTCAGTGTTAAATTCGTGTCTTTTTCTTCCAGACAGTTCTCACAAAATTATGAACAATTGTCCTAGGCGTTTTGTTGTTGTTGTAATTGTTTATGTTTAACTTTTTGTATTATAATGTGTTTATCCCAAAATCAAACATACGAGGGGGAAAATGAATCCTGCTTCTTCTGCTGAGGACTAAGTCAAACTACTCGAGTGACAGACAAGAACACTTACCCAGGCCCACCGCCACAAAGAAAACATAAGAATAAAGTAACGGACTTTTTTCCACGCCTATGGGCGTACTGTGCATATAGGGCTAAACCTATATTTTATGGACCAAACGACACTTGAATACATTAAAGTGGCTGGCTAAATTAAATTAACATTAGGGGCTCCTTACCCCCCCCCCCCCACCCACTCCGCCTCCAGCACCAACAACGCCCTCCTATGTAAACATGGGGCGGGTCGGGCTCAGACGTCTTCAAGCCCTCTCTAATAAATTAGGAGAACGTGGTGGGGGAGGGGGGTTGCCTTGCCCTGCCCCCACTACGTCCTCCTCACCACCTTACAAATTGCTTAGGCACACAAATTGGCGGGGGTGGGGGGGCTCAGATCCCTGAGTGAGCCGGCAATTATGCTATTGGCTCTGCTTTAAAGAAGTGTTTTAACATCTATTTACAATGTCTATTCTTTTCAAGCATTCTGCATTGAAGAAGAATTATGTGCCTGCTTTACAAAATAGCGATTAAATAAACAAAGGGATGTTATGGCAACGATCCTTCATCTTATGATACTTTGTAGAATCTTGGGATGTGAAACACCCTCGCAGAATTTTATACCAACTTTTAAACAAGCTCTCTGAACGGCAAACTTATTCAGACAATAACAGCAATGTCAGCTGGGGAAATCTGAGAACCTGCGATTATTGGTGAACACTCCACCCTCACCCTAGTTCAGTATTTGTTCTTTAAATTGTCATTTGTGTTTGTATAGTTTGCTTATATGTTATCTCTGTAATCTGTTTCATGAATCTACTCTTATCAGTAAGTAATTATTAGTTAAACAGGGCCCTCTGGGAGCGAGTGAGGCGCATATAGATCATTACAGTCTGAGGAGAATGGCGCTACGAGAAGTTGCTAGGGGATCTGGCCGATGCTCAACACTCAAGGGAAGGTCGAGACGGATATACAATTAGATAGTTTCTGACGCCATCGGAATTGAAACTTTTCGTTTGCTGGTGAAGATGGGGACGGAGCGCTTATTCGAATGCCCTGAGTGCTACGGTGTTGATTCTTAATTTAACATTCACCATTTTAGTTAAATAGGTTTTGGTTATTTTATTTTCTATTTAAACATCACTGTATAAATGACTTGTTCCTTGGGCCAAGATACTTACCACAAAGTATTTTTAAAAGGGGCTGGTATTGGCAGCAAATAGCAGCTATAAGAATTAACAACTGTTTAGGTACATTTCAGAGCATAAAGAGGGGCGTACGACAAGGATGTGTACTGTCACCTGATTTGTTTTCAATATACAGTAAATATATAATGAGATCTTTATTTTTATTACCGGAATTGTGGTTGATGGGCACAATATAAACAATTTACGTTATGCTGATGGCACAGTCTTGATAGCAAGAAGTCAGAAAGAACTACAGGAAATGATAGACATCGTGGTGTTTGAAAGTGGAAGAATGAGCCTCAGTTTGAAAAATTGGTGGTATCAAAGAAACGAATTATTCCTAAATGTGTAATAAAAGTCGATGGTGTTATTTTAGGACAAGTACATAAATTTAAGTATCTGGGTACGTGGATAACATCAGATGGAAGATGCATAACTGAGATAAGAAACAGAATAGGACAAGCAAAAACTGCATTTTATCAAATGAAGAACATCTTATGCAATATATCTTTGTCATTATGAGTTAGAAAAGAATTATTGCTTGCTACATACATCCAGTTTTAACATATGGCAGTGAATCTTGGACAATCGGTAGGCAGGCCAAACAATTTCTTGAGGCCTCAGAGATGTGGTTTTACAGAAGAATTCTTAGAATACCTTCACAGCCAAAAAAAAAAAAAAAAAATCAAACAAGAAATTTTGAAAGAGGTTGGGGCCCGACGACAACTAATCACAGACATCAGGAGACAGTCATCATTTTTCGGCCATGTTATGAGAAGATGTAAAATAGACCATGTTGTGACCACTGGAAAGATCTGTGGAAGGAGGGATAGAGAAAGACAACGAGAGATGATTCGTGACAGTCTTGTTGCATGGCATGAAGGTGTGTCGGCACACGAACTGATGCATGCTGCAGGAGATCGCAGATTGCGGAGAGGCATGATCGCCCACGCTAGTCGGCAAGGCAGCTGATGATGATGATGGTATTCAGCCCTAAATGTCTTTTACAGTATTAATGGGGGGGGGGGAACCCAGAATAGGCCGTGCTTGTATATTAATTTGGTAGTAATGTCAGTATACGAGCACGTGTGTTGTTGTTGTTGTTTTTTGTTTTTTTTTCTGGCAGTGTGCAGTACGTCACCTTTTGATGCATTATTTTGTCATTGATTAATTTCAGTCGATTTGCTGTTCATAACAACACGGCATTGGACTCAAATGAATCGCCTTGGCTTTGAGTTCGATCGATTTGTCTCCCGACGTAAATGCCACCTGAAAGTTTGGATCAATCAGTCAGTCCCCATTGCATGTTTTGTGTATCCCGAGTTGAGTTTTAGTGCTGTAGATGTTTGATCTCTAGACATTCTGAAGTCTGCTGTAAGCAGCATTTGCCTTTGCAGTTCTCTGCTTGATTTCAACCACTACATTTCCATCCGAGGAGTTATTGCCTCCCAGGTAAGTGAAATCAGTTAGTGTTTCCAAACCTACATTTTCTATTACTAAAGGTCTTTCATCTTTGAGGTTTATCTCTAGCAGTTTTGTTTTATTGACATTGATTTCTAGCCATGTCTGTTTTGCTACTGCGCAATGAGAAACAAGAAAGATGACAGAATGCGCCATTTTTAGACTCCTGATGTTACCCTGACGTATTCTGTTTCCCCAAGTCCTACTTTACACTGGTAACTTTTATAGAGTCATTTAAATATGTTTATAACTTTATCTAGTAACCCATTCGTAGCAAGGATCCTCAACATCATTGTTCAATCTAGACTGTTAAAGGCCTTTTCAAAGTCTATAGTTTCTTTTATATATATATATATATATATATATATATATATATATATATATATATATATATATATATATATATATATATATATAATGTGACTTTGCTTGGCATTCCACCATCTGAAAGTTTATCACCCTAAAATTTAAACGAAAATCTCAGTCTAAGTGACAGAGCAACAGGACAGATCCCGAACACGACCTACTCTAGATAGGAGGCTGCGATTCCGGATACCCCGTTCTCAATCTGTAAAGTTCCACCCTAAATTAGGACATTCGTAAACGGCTACACCAGAACGGTGTTGCTCGCATTCTTCTACTAGTAAGAAATGTAGGTTATATCATATTGTGTTATCACAGTTGACGTCACTGAACATTGGAAATTCCAATTCATGCTCGGTCCTCTAATGTATCAGTCGCTCCAAGGTACTTCTAATGATTGTTGTCATGAGAAGATGGTCTCCTGTCTTGGCCTCGGAGACCGCATAGACGTGCTATCCCAGGTATCGCTATCGTCTTAACGTTAGAGATTCAGCATTATCCCTCAACCTACTGTGTACGGCGTTGATGAAAGCAGGTCTGCCCATTGTTGCATTACTTACAAGTTGATCAGCTCAAGAACCGTAAGTGACGGAACCTGGGGGTTACCCCACTCCCACCCACGCCGATGCCTGGTTTTGTTTTTATTTCAACGCCGTTTTGTTTCAAGTTAATGATGCGGTCAGCCTAAAGTTACATCAACAAATGCCTAGGAGTAAAGGGTTAATAAACGACCAAGACCGGTAACTCTTATCTCTCTCATAGAATAAACATGGCTGCACGCAAGGCTGTGGCTCAAGTCGCCGATAAGGTCAAAAGAAAAACATTTTTATCGACAGTAATTCCAGCAGGGAAGGCTACTCCAGCACCACCACTAGGTCCAGAACTTGGACAGGTAAGCATATTTAAATATATTGTTCTAGAGATAATATACGAATTCAGTTAAAGAAGTTTAGATATGAAGAAGTGAACAGAATTGGAACTTCCGCTTCAAATTGATTTGGATGTCTATGAAATTGAATTGACTGTCGGTAGACTAGACAGTAAAGACACTAAACAGGTCTCAGCAACGGGTCACGGCTACGATAGGAACTTAATCAACAATTACTGTGTATGTATAGTTGTATAGCTTTTCTTAACTTTTCAAAAATTAAATCCCGAGTACATCATCATGCATTTTCGCTGAAATATTCTTTGATCTGGCCATCTGATTGTCATTGTTGTTTTAGTTTCGGAATGTTATGGTGTAAGTATAATTACTAGTAGTAGTAGTGTCGGCTTTCCTAGTTGGATTAATTAGCTATCTTCCGAATAATGGTCCCAAATTATAGAGGCAAAAAATATACCCTAACAGGGCCTCAGTCAATCAAGTGTCAATTGCGCACTTACGGCGGCTTAAATTGCGCACTTCCGCCCGGCCGAGAGTATCCACCGAGTGGATTGGGGCTAAACTAGATGGCTGGGACTCACGAGCAGCAGCTACCCCATTTCCTGCAGCTGCCTTGATATTATTTGCTCATGAGTCCCAGCCATCTAGTTAAGCCCCAATCCACTCGGTGGATACTCTCGGTGGTGGCAGTATAGTCCCCGGAAGTGCGCAATTGACACGTGACTGAGGCCCTGTTAGGGTATATTTTCTGCCTCGATAATTTGGGACTGTTATTCAGAAGATAGCCGATTAATTCATGGGAAATTTTTAAGTCTCACCATTGTGTGTCATCATTATATGCATGCCAGTTAATCTTCCAGGCAATGAACTGGAATGCAGGGACAAAACATGGGCATTTCCCACCATTCTTCCTCTTCTACTCTCACCGTTAATTGTTGGGCAGTTAGCAAATTGGGCTATCCTCCGAATAATATATATATATACATATTATGACCGTAAACACCCTAACAGGGCCTCAGTCAATTGCGCACTTCTGGCTATTTAATTTGCTGCCTTCCAGCGACTACCGCCAACGCCTAGAGTATCTCCCACGCCGCTATGTGCGGCGAAGAGCTAAACTAGATGGCTGGGACTCATAGCCAGCAGCTTCCGCATCTCCTGCAGCTTTGCTGATGAGTCCCAACCATCTAGTTTAGCCCCAATCCACGACACGCGTAGCAGCATGGGAGATACTCTCAGCGGTAACGGTAGTCGCCAGAAGTTGGCAAATTAAGTCGCAGAAAGTGCGCATTTGACACTTGACTGAGGCCCTGTTTTTGGGCCGCCATATTATGTGCCCGTTATTCGGAGGATAGCAGCACATAGTGTTGCTGTTTACGACTGGGAAGTAATATCTGTGCCTTTCAGCTTAATATGTCCGATTTCAACAGACATCATCAGTCACCTTTTACCGCAGGCTTCTTAAGGGAAAGATGGTCTATTATTTATCACCCTAATGGGACCCTTGCAGCCACACTGGGACCTTTGTACCCACACTGGGACCCTTGCAGCCACACTGGGACCCTTGCAGCCACACTGGGACCCTTGTACCCACACTGGGACCCTTGTACCCACACTGGGACCCTTGCAGCCACACTGGGATTCTCACCATTCAAGTTGGTTTCTGTAAATGTTGAGCCCAACATGTGATGTGGTGGTAAGCTCACATAAGATAGGGTCACCTCATGCATTTGACTGCTTTACCACATTTGCTTAAACTGAGCCACCCATCCTTTATATGGATGCCTTTAAAGACCAGTGTAATGCCACCATCCTTTATATGGATGCCTTAAAAGACCAGCGTAATGCCACCATCCTTTATATGGATGCCTTTAAAGACCAGCGTAATGCCACCCATCCTTTATGCGGATGCCTTTAAAGACCAGCGTAATGCCACCCATCCTTTATATGGATGCCTTTATATGGATACCTTTAAAGACCAGGGTAATGCAGTCTACGGAATATTTGTTTCATAGAAACCAAGAGTATTTAGAGCAAGTACATTGTGATTGTGCTGGGAAAAGGGAGCGCTCCTCTGCCTGTTGAATTTATCTGTAACACAGTTCTCTCCTATAACTCCTGAGCCATCTGTTTGTGCTTGCATGACCAAGTTTTTCTTTCTTTTTCTGGCGGTACACAATGGTATAGAGTCCCAGCACTATTATTTCTTTTGCTTGACACAGCGGTACAGTATACCAGCACCTTGTTTTTAATAGTTTTTATTTTTTCAGTACTACTGTGAGGACCAACAGCTTTATAAAATCACTTTATGTTAAGTACCAGCACCGTTTTCTGTTTTTACATAAAGCCCTGGGAAGTACTCATCCAATGAATTACTCAGGAGTTTAGTTTGATCAGTCTTGCTTATACTTGGTTCACTAACCATGTGTTAATAAAATGAAATCTAGGAGAAGTATTGCTCCAGTGAGGTAATGGCTGTGATAAACCTTGGACATGGTTACCTCTGTTTATAATTAAAAACCAATCATCAGTCAGGTAACATCTTTACATTAAAAGTTGTCTGCAATGGATCTCCTCACATTCTGTCTCTTACCCAGGATACACCCTATGTTTGTCGTTCTCTTGATTTTTCCTTCCACTTATGTCACTGTCTGCCTTTTGCTTGCTTGCCTTCAGCTTTTCCCATCCATAGAAGCAAAGCAGTTCTCAGCCTTAATCCTGGGAGTCAACAACAACAAAACTGCTAATATTGCCTGCATTGACCACTTTTGAATGGGAAGGGGGGGGTTGTTCAGCATATTGTAACCATTTGTTTTACCATGCTAGTACAGCCAGCCCATTTCTTTTACCATGTAAATAACATTGTAACATAACTTCCATCCACAGATGCAAATCCAGATTGCTGCATTCTGCAAAGACTTCAATGAAAAAACATCTCACATAAAGACTGGGATCCCGATGCGTGCTGAGATTAGTGTAAATGTAAGTGTGAGGGTTCATGTTGAGGTCATGCGTCTAACAAAAACGTTTGGCTAGATGACTGTATGTAACAGACAAATCAGGGGATTAGGCAAGGCAAGGTTTGATCTTGTGCCATATGGCTGCTTCGATGACCCTGAAACCTCCTGGCCAGCAGGGCCCGGGTGATGTTGCGACAGGCCTGACAAGCTGGCAGGGGATGTATTATAGGTGGACTGATCAAACAATATTCGACTAGTGGTTTTAAAGGACTGGGACAGAACAGCAACAGAATCGAGTGACGTAGGCCGGAGTAGACCAATCTTTCTATAGCGTTTCAGCTTAAAAGCCCTGTTTTGTTTTTCCTTAATGATTGCGAGATAGTCCACCACTCACATCAGTAAGTTGCATGCTCTTAAAATGTTGGCTTTGATTTACTTTCTGGTGCCTAGCCATAGATTATTAATGCTGTGTAATTTTTGTATTCTGTCACCATACTCCTGCCATTTCAGATGGATCCTAGATATTCAAAGTTTGTGACATATTAAAGTCACATTTGTGATAGATACTACATCATCAACAATAAGCAGATCAACAAAAAGAGTTTGATAGTTAAAAACACCCCCAAAAAAAATTGTTTATCAAGCTTCTATCTTGGGCACACCTCTCTGAGGCGAACAACTGAACATAAAAATTGCCTAGTACAACCATAAAACAGACAGTAAATTCTCTGGTTACTTTGTGACATCCTGAAACTGATACGCAGCTAACTTTATTATTTATTTTCCAGTTGCTGTTTTAAATCAGATTACATTATTCCTAAATTGACTTTGTTGTTCTCTTCGTCCACAGCCAAATCGTACCTATAACATTACCCTGTTAAATCCCCCAACCAGCTATTTCCTAATGCAGGCTGCAGGTTGCCAGAAAGGTGCTACCTCATCAAGTAAGAATTTCTGTTTAGATCAGTGATAAACTTGTCTGTGTTTCACTCTTATGCCGGGCTGTAGGTATTGTGTAATAGAAACATTACTATAACTCAGACCTCACCCCAGCCAGTCTGTATGTGTTAGGTAGGAGAAACACTACTGTGACTCAGACCTCACCCCAGCCAGTCTGTATGTGTTAGGTAGGAGAAACACTTCTGTGACTCAGACCTCACCCCAACCAGTCTGTTTATGCTGTATTGGAAAACAACGCATGTATCCTCTATACCCCCCCCCCCCCCCCCCCAACAAGCATGTCGAAGCGACTAATTATGGGTGTTTCCTCAAAATCTGAAGTGCATCTGCATGAGAGTTAAGGAACCAACAGTCTGCATAAAAAAGTCAAATCTGTAAAATGGATATGCATATCCACTCAAGCTGTGGATCAAACCCAAAGTCTAGAAGATGATGAAGAACCAGAACTTTCCACCAGAGTTTACAGCTGGTAAACGCTAAAAAGAAGAAGAGAGAGTGCTGTATCAAATTATAACCTGGCAAAATTTCCTGGTGCCTATTTGAGGGTGGGTCAGCCTGTGATCCTAGGTTATTATAAACCATCTACCTTAATGCTGATTCTCCATTCACTTATGCCTCTTGTGAATTTGTGGACTAACAACAGTTGACAGTCAGCAACAAAAAAAAAGACAAAGATTATGGTGCTGTTGATAGACCAGCAGTTGTCGTTAATAGAAATGAGCTAATGACAATTGACCTGGACAAAAATATTAATATCAGGATAGGTAAGACATTATCAACAATAAGCAGATTAACAAAAAGAGTTTTAAAAGGACAGAAAGCTTGTAGTTATCCAGCATGTATCTTCAGCACACTTTACTGTGGTAATGAAACTTGGTAAACTTACTTGCACCAACAGAAACAACTAACTGGATTTCACTTGCAATATCTACAAAGAATACTTGTCATTAATTGACACAAGATTACATACACTGAGGTATTTGAAGAGCAGGTGTGACAACAGTTTTCTCAGTGCTCGGCCTTCGAAGGCACATTTGGCTGGGACACACTCAGAAGATGAAGAATGAGTCCCTAAGAACATCTTCAGTGGTAAATTACATATGGTAGAACATGTCAAGGTTGGCTTGTGCTGTAAAATAAAGATTTGTAGTAGTGACTTGTCACTTAAATGATACAGATATTGAGATGGATTTGTGGGAACAGGGTGCAATGGGTTGCATTGGGGGGGGGGGGGGGTAAGGACAAAGGAAGTGTCAATTCTCTGCGCTACCATTGCTTCTTGTGTAGATATATACAATAAACAACATTTTTATGTCTTTGTGCATGTTACTTTCCACTTGGATTGATTCTGTCATTTTGTTTTCAAATTATCCATAGACACACAGACCGCTGGCATCATTACACTAAAACATGTATATGAGATTGCCAAGATCAAGGGTCGGGACCCTGCTTTTACCTGCATGACTTTGGACCAAGTCTGTAAAACCATCATTGGATGTGCCCATAGCATCGGCATCAAGGTTAGTACATTTATCCCTGTATAGCTTTCGCTGCCTCATTTTGGGGGCTGGGGGGGAGGGGTGGATCCATCCCCCCCCCCCTTCCTTCCCTACACCTCCACAAGCCTTGTTGTCTTTGAAATCATATGCGCATGGCTAGAGAGATGAGGAGTCAACAGTCTGTTTACAAAAAGCTAGATCTGTAAAACAGATATGCATGCAAAACTAAAGCAAACAAACAAGCAGAATTTATAGCCAGTAAACTGAAGAGTAGAATTATTTTAGCATGTAGGACGGAAGACTGAATAATTTCATGCCTTTTGTAGATTGTATGCAAAATATTGGCTTTTTTTTTTTTTTTTGCATTCACAACTCTAAGCTCAGGGGAAAAACATGGTTGTTCGTCCATTTTTGCACTTTTTCTAGGATCTGTGTTTTTGTGTACTTCTGTTTTACAGTTGTGGCTTATTTACAGGTAGGCTAATGGTTCCTTGCTTCTCAAGCAGATGCATACCTACATCAAAGGAAAGTATCCCATCTATGTTGGCTAGGAACATGTTTCTAGGATGACCACAGAGAGGGTTAGAAAGGCCTAGACCAGTACGAGCCCTGGTTCTAGTGCACGACCATGTGTGATTCAGCACCTCTGCATCTAAACTCCAATCAATCATAAACAGATCTTAAGAATGAAAAATCTTGAATCAGCCAATGAAAACAGTTTCTTCCCCATAAAGAAAGGATTTATTAAAGAGAAAGAGATGCCTGAATAATTATTCCTATCAAATTGTGGAACTCAACTGTTATCAGGGCCCTTATATAACCTAATGGATGAATGGGTTTTCTGGGACTTGTGCCCGGGTGATCCTCATCTGAATGGTGGCACTTTATGTCACTGGGTCGCTCTTTGTACGTTCCTGGTGGGGTTGAACGACACACATACAGAGAGATAGATTCTCATATTGGCAAGACATGGATGGAACCTAAAAAGATAATAAAGGATTGGGGGGATTGCTCCAATCAGTAAATCAGTCGTCGTCATTGTTCATTGTTGAGCCTAAATATTCGCAATCTGAGACATTTTTAATCTCTTCGTTGTCGATTTTAATTGTAGTTAGTGTTTTGTATTCATTGTGTACATTATTTGTAAATGCTCTATTGGGGGAATAAAGCTGATGCAGTGCTTCATCACTTTGAAATCCACTGCCAGTATTTTGTATAAGAATGGTATTTCTTTAAACATCCTAATGATTAAGTCTCAAGTGCTTCTTCCAAAATGGAGTTTGGTTGTAATACATCTCACAACACTTTTTGACTCTCTCTGACCACACACTCATAACAAAATTTATTTATCTGTTTTTGTTCTTCCGACTTGTTTCCTTATCCATCTTTTGTTTGGCAGCTTTCAGTTTATATAAAAAAAATTTGAAGCGCCTCATGTCTTTCATGGTGATCATAAAATTTGACTGATCTCTTTACTTTTTATTTATTTCATAATCTTACTTTTCATTTTCATTGTGATCATATTAGCAGAGTAAGAAGACATGCACAATGACTTGAAGAATTTATTGCTTACCTATGTTGCCAGGTGGTGAGAGGTCCAATTGAAGTTGCAGAGTTAAAAGAATTTCTAGCCAGGAGAGCTGAAGAAGTGGCAGCAGAAGAAAAAGAATTAGAAGAGTTAAGATTGTCAAAGGTCTTGAGATTATAGCCGCATGTGTATTGTGACATTGTACTTGCTTGTTTATTAAAGGAAAGACTTTATGCTTTTGTAGGAGTTAATTTCAAAAAGTAATCTAGAATTAGGGTTAAGTTGTTCTGCTATCAAGCAAGTTTTTGCATGTTTTTCTTGAAAATATCACACATAATTGATTTGTAATATCATAATTGATTTGCTGTTTTCTTACTTGTGAGAGTTAATAATGGGTGGTGACAAGTGTGAGACTGAAATAAAGACAACAGAATAGCAGTGACCAAACTAACATTCAGCAATATAAAACAGCTTCTGGCATTCAAAGAAATAATTTGTGAACGAGAAATGATCAGGTGTTATTTTCAGCATTATGTGATGGAGGATCGTCTGTGGTAAAGTTGATTGAAAGTATAGACAGTTGTGGATAGACATGACTGACAGTGCCACATGGCATGGAGGTTAAGAAATTTGTTACAAAGGTCACTAATTAATACATAAAACATGTACATATCTACATTGTTTTATATTTTTTCAAGATGTGGACATATATATGAAATGAGTGATCAGTAAACATGAACAATATGATGCATTAAATGGAATATTTCCCCGAGGCCTGGAAAAAAAACACTATGTATCATTTGATTTGTGCCGTGACTTCTGTCACTGAGGCTTATGAGAAACTGGCGTCAACATGGTGTTAATAAAGCCATTTAGCTAAGGGGATCCGATTATTTTGTTAATTAATGCATTCATTTCCTGACCTCTTAGTGCATTAACTATGCACTGTGTAGTCGAGTCAGAAAAGTGACATTTAGGGGAATTTGACTCAACCAGAAGTGTTGGTTTTTCAGCTTCTCTGGGCGAAAGGGCTAATAAGACAAGGAAATTCTTTGTGACAGGCATTCATAACACTCTGGCCCAGGACCATGTCTCCGACGCTTGAAGTGGTTTCTAATAAATTGCTCAGCTCAGTCCCTCATTTTCAGTCATGTAGGAAACTCATCACAGAAGCTAAAAAAGTACTCAGTCACTGAGCAAAAAAAATTGAGCTTTTGAATTAAAATGTTATAGAAAAAGAATACCTTGGAGCAAGAAAAGGAAAGACAGAGGTTCTAAACAAGTTGAATGTCAGAGAGAACTGGCTCATAAACAGCATCCTGTCAGGAAAGTTGAAGTATTTTGGCCACATCAAGCGTTATGGTGGCTTGAAAAAGACGATGGTGGAGGATGCAGTTTGTGGAATGCGAGGCAGGGGTCGACCACCGCGAAGATGGATACAGGACATTGAAGAAGCATTGGCATTGAAAGCACATGGGACCGGACAGCTGGCTAGGGAAAGGGATACTTTCAGGCGTGCCGTGAAGACAGCTGGCTAGTGAAAGGAATACTTTCAGGCGTGCCGTGAAGAGAGCTGGCTAGAGAAAGGGATACTTTCAGGCGTGCCGTGAAGAGAGCTGGCTAGAGAAAGGAATACTTTCAGGCGTGCCGTGAAGAGAGCTGGCTAGAGAAAGGAATACTTTCAGGCGTGCCGTGAAGAGAGCTGGCTAGAGAAAGGAATACTTTCAGGCGTGCCGTGAAGAGAGCTGGCTAGAGAAAGGGATACTTTCAGGCGTGCCGTGAAGAGAGCTGGCTAGAGAAAGGGATACTTGCAGGCGTGCCGTGAAGAGAGCTGGCTAGGGAAAGGGATACTTTCAGGCGTGCCGTGAAGAGAGCTGGCTAGAGAAAGGGATACTTGCAGGCGTGCCGTGAAGAGAGCTGGCTAGAGAAAGGAATACTTTCAGGCTTGCCGTGAAGAGAGCTGGCTAGGGAAAGGGATACTTGCAGGCGTGCCGTGAAGAGAGCTGGCTAGAGAAAGGAATACTTTCAGGCGTGCCGTGAAGAGAGCTGGCTAGAGAAAGGAATACTTTCAGGCTTGCCGTGAAGAGAGCTGGCTAGGGAAAGGGATACTTGCAGGCGTGCCGTGAAGAGAGCTGGCTAGAGAAAGGAATACTTTCAGGCGTGCCGTGAAGAGAGCTGGCTAGAGAAAGGAATACTTTCAGGCGTGCCGTGAAGAGAGCTGGCTAGGGAAAGGGATACTTTCAGGCTTGCCGTGAAGAGAGCTGGCTAGAGAAAGGAATACTTTCAGGCATGCCGTGAAGAGAGCTGGCTAGGGAAAGGGATACTTTCAGGCGTGCCGTGAAGAGAGCTGGCTAGAGAAAGGGATACTTTCAGGCTTGCCGTGAAGAGAGCTGGCTAGGGAAAGGGATACTTTCAGGCGTGCCGTGAAGAGAGCTGGCTAGGGAAAGGAATACTTTCAGGCGTGCCGTGAAGAGAGCTGGCTAGGGAAAGGGATACTTTCAGGCGTGCCGTGAAGAGAGCTGGCTAGGGAAAGGAATACTTTCAGGCGTGGCGTGAAGAGAGCTGGCTAGTGAAAGGGATACATTCAGGCGTGCCGTGAAGAGAGCTGGCTAGAGAAAGGAATACTTTCAGGCGTGGCGTGAAGAGAGCTGGCTAGTGAAAGGGATACATTCAGGCGTGCCGTGAAGAGAGCTGGCTAGGGAAAGGAATACTTTCAGGCGTGTCGTGAAGAGAGCGATGTGCTGTAACGGATTTGCTGGTTGATTGATTGAGGAATCTTTTAGACAAATTTTGTTCTTTTGAGTACACCCTTAAAAAGGGTGGTTGGCACATTGTGGTTTACAGCTAGGCTGCAACATCTGCATTTTTTGGTTCAACGCATCTGATTTTACCAAACTCGTATATAATCATCGTCATTAGGTGTTGTGCCAGTAAGCGTAGGCTGTCGTGTTGTGCCATCTCACACAATCACCAGAATCACGGATCAGTTTGTTGTTTTTGTCCCACCCCATACATCTGCCCCGGCCATCCAGGTATTTATTTCTTTGCCTAACTCTTGCTCTCTTTCCATCAATTTGGCCAGTTGTTACCAAGCTCTCGAGTCCATTCCTTCTCATAACGTGTCCAAAACTCTTAAATATTTATTCTTTTAGACACACACACATATATATATATATCCAGAGAACAAAATAATTTAGTCCAGATTATCTTGGAAACATTAACCATCAGCCAATCAAATACTGATGTTCTGGAAAGGCTAGAAGGAATGAATAGAAAACTGTTGAATGTATTAAAATGAGACAGGTGGTAGACAGCGATACAAGTGACTTGCTGCCAAGTGGTGAAGAGCCTTACCTTCGTTGGGGGATAAAGAGTAGGAGAATAATAATGTTATTTATTTAATTACACCATTTATGCAAATACATTTTGTTTATTATACCTTGTGTTTATTGTTATCAGTATTTATGGATGTGTTACTTATACCTGTATCTGTTGTATTATATTTGTTATGGGATCATTATGTCATTCTTATTTGATATAAGGTTATCTGTGATTGAAATTGTAATAACTGTTCAACAAAATTACACCTTTCACTACAGTAATGTAATACATTACATAAAGTTGTATTATATTTACAGTTTGATGAAATTTCAGTCAAGCTATTGTTAGTTCATACATATTTTTTTTTTTGGATGGTGTTATTTCTGAGGTATTGAACTTCTAGTTCCAGTTATGCTAAGACTTCTTTTGATTTATGACCCTAGTACAAGGGACCCAGTTTTCTTTTCTAGCTTGTCTCTGTTAGTTTGCCTTATTACCTCTCCTTCCTTGCTGCACCAAGATGAGAATCTGGAGTGATCTTCCTCACCAGCTTCCGGTGTGCTTTAATGCTGAAGAACTTGGGAGCATTTTTTTAAGGGTTGCATTTTATTTAATTTTTTCGGTTAGTTTCCTGCACTGTAGTTCTGGTCGGTTGGTTGTTGGTCGTTTTTTTTTCTACAAGAATTCTGTCCTTGGATAGCATGGATGAGAATCGGGTGCAGATCCAAGAAATCTTGTTCAACCACATAACATGGTTATATACAGGACAGCCCTAGTGACAACAAGTAACCTGTAGACCAGTGTGGGGTTGGAAATATTTCTTTTCAACTGCCCTGCAATCATTTATCTTTAATAACATGGCTGTGTTAAAGCAATAAAATGAGTACTCAAAACTTGAATTACACATGGGTCCTTTCCACAGTCATGCTGGGATCTCCATAGTGTTCTGTCCGGGGTAAATGAGAGTTATTTTAAACCATAGCACTTAGCTCAGGGCTATTTAACTGTTTACTTGGGGCCAACATATAGAACATAGGGATCTCACGGGCCCCAGCGTCAGCATAAACATTTATTTAAAACATTTAGAAAATATTCGCGAGCTGCTTGCTAGTCCTCTGCGGGCCAGATTTGCCAGACCAGTAGCCTTGACCTAGATCAAGGCCTCTTGCAAGAGAGGCTATAGTCAGGGGGGTGACACTAAGTGTTTCGGGGTAGGGTCTGAGCCCCCGTGTTGCAAAAGTTGGAGGGGGGGGGGTATGCTCATGAGGCCTAATCCTAGTTTAAGAGTATAATAATAAAGATTCCCAAGCAGGACAACATGTTGCAAAAAGACTTTAAAGAGCTCTTGGACATCAGTACAGGCATGCAAGAAGCTGCGAAGATCCATTTAGATGGCCTCAACTTCATTGCAATTACCAGCAAGGCAGCAAGTGTAGCTTTTGTAAAACAGTCCTGCTTTCACTTATGGGCACATGGACCTCAGAGTCCTGCAGTTTCACATCAGGACTTACACATGCATCTACAGTTTTACTGGTGTTCCTCACTGTGTAAAGCAAGATTGTGGAACTAGAAGCACCAAGCATTGGGATGATGCTAACATTTACAGATACTGTACTAGTGTATAGGCAGAGAAGGAATATGTAACACCAGACACAGTGACTGGTGTACAGATTTGGGTGCTGTCATCCACTCAGACAAGAGGCTGTTTTACTGTTCTCTCTCTACAATAGGTTTGTTATAGCTGATATCACCTTCTTCTTCTTTGTGTTCACCAGCTGTAAACTGCGGCGGAAAATTCTCGTTGTTCGTCCACATCTGTTTCACAGGTCTAACTCATTTGATTACAAACTGTTGGTTCT